GTGTGTGTGTGTTTGTGTGTGTGAGTGTGTGTGTGCGCGCGTGTGTTTCTCTTTCTCTCTCTCTCTCTCTGTCTCTCTGTCTCTCTCTCTCTCTCGTTTTTTTCTCTCTCACTGTCTGTGTGTGTGAGTTTATGTGGGGGTTTGTGGGTGTATGTGTATGTGTATGTGTGTGCGCGTGTGTGTGTTTGTATGTGTGTGTGGGGGGTGTTTGTATGTGTGCGCGCGAGTGCGCGCGTATGTATATATGCGCGCGTGTGTGTATACATGTATATGTATATGTGTTTCTAATTGTTCCTAAATATTCCCCTCCCCCCTAAGACAATCAAACAGCCTCGCATCTTCTATCTATAAGAGTCTTACTTCAAACTCTCCCTATCACCCTGCCTCTCCTCTCTTCACCATCTTTCCACATCACCGGCTCCGTCCACCCATCCGTCATCCCTTCCTCGTCTTCATAATTCATCTCACAAGGCGAGCCCACCGTGAGTCCTCCCAACCAACCATTAAAACACAAGATAATCACTCACCCCCACCTGCCTGCCCATGCCCACGCCTATGCCCACATGTTTCAGATTGCAGACCACTTCCCCACTAATTACACGATGTTTCTCACTCTCTTTCTCTTTCTTTCTTTTCCCCATGTCCAGTTGTGGGTCTTGTGGAGCTTGCCTGGCTTATACTGGGCGCCGTGTGGGCGTCCCGCCATTACTCAACGTGCTCACCAGCGGCCGCCAAAGAGGCGCTATTAGGTAAGTACCTGAACGAGGTGTAGCCAATTACCGCCCCTTATTTTCTGTGTTGCCAATTACCGCCCCAGATTTTACTTTAGAAGCGTGCTTACTACCCATCTTTAGCGCGTTTGCGTGACTAAATTGTGTTATCTTAGTCACAGACGAATGCGTACACGTGTGTGTTTCTGTTTAGATTAGTTTGCTTCTCAAGTTCTTGATTTCCTCTTATACTTATACTCCTCTCTGTTTCTGTCTTTGTCTTTGTCTGTCTGTCTGCCTGTCTCTCACTATCTCTCTCTCTCTGTCTGTCTGTCTGTCTGTCTGTCTGTCTGTCTGTCTGTCTGTCTGTCTGTCT